GAAGAGAACCAGAAGGAGAGGCAAGAGAGGGAGGAGAGGGAGGAGAGGGAGGACAGAGAGAGAACCAGAACGAGAGGCAAGAGAGGGAGAAGAGGCAGGAGAGAGAGGAGAGGAAATAGGGGGAGAAGAGAGAGAAGAGGAACGAGAGAAAGGGGAAAGAGGAGAGGAAGGAAAGGGAGGAGAGGGAGGAAAAGAGCGGAGAGGGGGGAGAGAGGGAGAAGCAGGAGAACCGGTAGGAGAGTAATCTCACTGATTGCTTGTCGGTTCACGCACGTGGTTTTCCCATATTACCCCTGTTTTAGATTCGGCGCGCAGCTACTGATGCAATCGGCGCGCAGCTACTGATGCAATCGGCGCGCAGCAGCTACTGATGTGGCACTTAAACCATATCAGAAGGGAGAGAGAGGAAGTAGAGGGAGAAGAGAGAGGAGAGGAAGGAGAGAAGGAGAGAGCGGAGCGGAAGGAGAGGAAGGAGAGGGAGGAAAAGAGAGGAGAGGGAGGAGAGAGGGAGGAGCAGGAGAACCGGTAGGAGAGTATTCTCACTGATTGCTTGTCGGTTTACACACGTGGCTTTCCCATGTTACGCTTCTTAGATTCGGCGCGCAGCTACTGATGCAATTGGCGCGCAGCTACTGATGTGGCGCTTAAGCCATCTCAGAAGGGTAATCAGGCAATCAGCGCACAGCTACTGACGTGGCAATGGCGTCCTTCTTCGATTGATCCGCTTTCCCTGATTACCCTTCCCATATGGTTTAAGCGCCACATCAGCAGCTGCGCGCCGATTGCATCATCAAGGTGACCGGTGAAGTGCGACTAGATAGTCCAGTGATGCCACGTCAGCATCCTGGCGATTTGATATCCGCATTTTACAACTTTATTCCGGCAGCTTTTTTTTCTTTTTTTTTTTCTTTTTTTTTCAAAAAAATTGGACCGTTTGTCGATTTATGCGTGTCATCCTTGAAAGCGCAGGGGCCATTTGCTAATTACCCTTTTACCCTTCTCTGTATCGTTCCAATTTTAACGGATGTCCCAAAGGATGTCCCAACGGACACCTTTACTGTTTCAAGTCCGTTGTTTCTGTTCTAATTGATTTACCAATTTCTTTAAATCTTATTCATCTTTTACGTGTAAAAAAAAAAAGAGGTCTTTTTAAAATAAAATTAAAAAAAAGAGGTCTTAAAAAAAAAAAAAAAAAAAGAGGTCTATTGAGCTTTGTTTTTTTTGTGGGGGGGGGAAGGACGCGGAAATGAGCTTTGCTGGGAACGGGGTGTCCCGCGGCTCACTCGCGCCAAAAAACGGCGGGAGGACGCGATTGCCGCTTTTTTGTTTTCTTGGCCGAATTTCAAAGAAGACACGCCCTCAGATTGCCCACGTGGGGAAAAAAAAAAGAATGGCCACGTGGAACTACTCGTCGTGATACAGATCATGCATCCGACCGTTCGGTTTTTTTTTGGGGGGCGGTTGTATTGTTTTGTATTGTATGTTTTGTTTTGAACCGAATTGTGGCCATGTTTGTGGAGATGTGCATGAAAAAAAAAACGAACAGCCGTGGGGTAATTTTTTTTCCTTTTTTTTTTTGTAGCGTTGTCTTGCTTCAACGCCTGTATGCGGTCGTGTTTACAATCGTTTGCAGAAAACACAGCAAACAAAAGAGGGTGACAGATAGAGAAATACCCCTCAAAAAATTTGGAACGATACAGAGAAGGGTGATTAGAAAATGGCCCCGAAGGGGTACAGCCCCGAGGGGCAGAAGGTGGTTTCTGGTAACTTGGGCAAGAGATAATCAGTTAGCAGCGGTCACAGTTGAGGGTAGGATGGTCATATCTCCCTGGTTAGAATCTTGAGATAACGGCAAGACAGGAAGTCCTCTCCTCTTAATTCTGTTTTAAGACAGTGGAAATGCAACCAGGACACTCGGTTGCTGGTACGGGTCGCGGTAGGCCAAATTGGGGTGGAGGGTGGAGAGTGTCATCGAGCCAGGATAGGCTCGTTGTGTAGATAGGGGTAGTATGGACAGAGGTAGTCGGATTGAGGGCTAGGGTAGGGGTTGGAGGGTACTATTCCTACATTGGAAGTCAGAATGTAATGAGCTCACATGTGAATTGTTGGCCTTAAGATGAGGGTCTGGTAAGCGCCTCTGCCCTGTACCGATGTTTGTACTCAAGCTAAACAGGCTGATGCTGCCGGGATAACTCCGGGTTGAATTGTGAGGTCCCCGGCCTCTTTTCAATGATTTTGGAATAAAAATTACCGGAGGTTATTCAAAAAAAAAGAAAAAAAAAGAAAAAAAAAGAAAAAAAAAAAAAAGAAAATGGCCCCTGTGCACACAAGGATGACACGGGCCCCGGACAAGTTCCGGCCTACTGGCACTTCGAGCTTTCCTGGACGTATGTGTGCAAATATTTTGGCCAGATTCAGTCGAAAAGGTACGAGTCGGAGATCTACCGTAGGGAGCCCGAGAGATGGCAACACGTACAGAGGTCCAGAGGGTGCAAGGTGGGAAACCTCGTCGTGCCAACCCAGGCTTCGCACCAGGCAAGGTCCCACTTGCGCCTATTAGGAGATGTCGGCCGTTGATCTCTGCTATCTACGGTCAGTGTCTCCTATTTCGTGCAAGTGGGACCTAGCCCACGGTTATTATGAGCTTGTCTGACTGGCGAGCCTGATACTTGTGTGGCTCTTTGGTAGTGGTCCTTACCACAGACTCATACATTACGAGGCCATGGCTTCGAACACAGAATGACCGACATACTGCAGGGGGGGGGGGAACCCAAGCTACAGCAATACATCAGATAAAACAGACCTCTGCACAGGCTACGCAACACCATGCTGACCTACAGAGATTCACGCCAAAGGCGCACAGAGCAACAACTGTGCTGAGTAAGGGGGAAGTGCCTAGAATAGGGCTCTCGTAGAGAGACCTTCCCCAGTTGGCCATTAGACACTGCCTGGGGTAAATAGGAAAGTTTCAGAAGGCGCGAACCCCTGGAGAAAGGGGGGCACTATCGGGTCTACTCACGGGACTGGTAGTCTACTCCCGAGGCACCCATGTGACAAGGTTAAAGCGACACAATCCCTCAACCAGGGTTGAAGGGGGGTCCCCGATCAGCATCGGTGCCAACAACCCCTCTCTAGTCAGGCTACTCTAGTAAAAAGAGTGATGGTCCTCAACTGAGGTACGATAGAGAGGAGTGGCGGGGTGCCAGGGAAAAGCCAGAGGTGGAAGGGTTGGGCCGTGTGAGGAATCAAGGCCATCTCCAGCTCCTCCTCTCTCGCGAACAAAAAAACCAAAAAACAAAACAAAACACCACAGTGACTACCTTCTAGGCTGGAAGGCAAAGTCGTGAATATAGCCTATAGTACCTATACCGCATTCTTCAGAGGCCGGTGGAACCCATGCACCCCTGGACCAAACAGGCTAACGCGGCGCCGGCCAAAACAAAACAAAAAAAAGCTACACCTGTGCTTCGGCAAAAGCATCGCACGCAGTTCTACTCCACCTTGGCAAGAAGAGGCTTAGAGGTAGCCCTGGTTTAAAGTTTCCTCCCTGAAGTTCCAAGTCACCCTGTCTGGGCCCTGTCCTGAGCTTTGTGCAGTCTAACAGAATTAAAGAAGAATTTCCCCCCCTACTTTTTTTTTGCTTTCAGCGCCCATGCCATTGTCGGCGTTCACTGAATCCAGGAGTACGGTCCTTCACCTTCTCGCTGGAACATTCACCGATAGAGATATTTTACAAACATGACAAATACAACCGACAACAGGGGCATTTCCCAAAGTAGTTTTTGTGTCAGAGGGGTATTCTGGTCTACCTTTTTTACTCTGCCATTGGGTAGGGGGGCATGGTCCAGTAGGGGCAACGAGTTCCCTCAGTGCCTGAATGCGACCTTCTTGTAGAGTTCCTTCCGTTTCCGCAACTGCAGATTGCGAAGCTCTCGTAAACTGGTCGCCGGTCCGCCGCCAACCTGGCTGCGCCCCCACGCCCGAGCGTGGTATCAGTATTGTTTACGTCCAGGTGCAAAAATCAGCCGCAATTTGGAATTTTCCATTTCGGCTGGGATAAGTGCGGATGGGCCCTTCGGGACATCACATCCGATTGTTGTGGGGGGGGGTTCGAGGTTTGGGGTAGTTATTGCTATGTTTTTTTTTCGATGTTGGGGTAGTTATTGGCAGAAGCTGCAGTAAGGGTTACCGCTGGGTGAATGGTCCAGGTAAGGAAGTTTAGGCTTTGTCGATAGGTGGTTTGGACAGTGGATTCGGCACTTTCGTGGAGATGTTGTTTTTACGTGACATGTGTTCGACGGTTCTCTATGACAAGTGCCTGGATATTGGGACTCGGCGACTTCGTGGGTAAATAGAGTCGTATTACTGGCTAAGTAGTACCGGTAGTTTCTGCTTTGAACTGGGCCCTTGAATGTTTTCAAAAGGGATGTTGGTAACTATTAGGACTGTTAGCAATGAACGTGATCGACTACGGAAACGGAAGTTGGGCGACTGTGGTGATAGCTTCTTCGACGGTGCTCTTAGCTGTAGGAACGGTACTTAAGCTTTACGCATCTCGAGTGTTTCCAAAAGACCCCTGATGAGTCTGACGCGGCGGTCAGACGAAACCGGTCGGGTCGTCTCCGAGGTGGATTTTGTTCTACCATAGCTGATGTGTTTCATTATCATTTTTAATGCAGCCGATCACGTTCGGGTTCGTTGCAAAGCTGGTCTATTCTTGTCCTGTCGTCTCTTGGTCGTCTGGTCATGTCGTGTCTCTTGGTCGTCTGGTCATGTCCAATGTGATCATAGTCATGGTATTGTGTGTTTCGAGTGAGTGAACTTCCTGCTTTGACCATCGCGTCAACTGAGTATATCATACTTTGTCTCACGAGGTAACCGTCGTAGAGATTGAACTACTGGCCGGTGGCTTCGAGTTCCTTTGTCAAGATGGCCAGCAATGAGGGAGACTCACAACCGAGAAATGCAGGTTGCTATAACTGCGGTCATTTAGGTCATATAGCTAGGTTTTGTCAACTTCCTGACAAGAGATTAAACAATCCTAATGTGTCTAATAGTATGGCTATAGTTCCGCACAATTTGAGCTACGTGAACAACACGGTGCCACAACAACAACCGACGTATCCTTACTACAATGGTGGATACTGTGGAGGAGGAGGTCTTCGCCAGCGGGTGTCTAATCTGGAGGAACTCATTGCCAAGATCAAGGGGAAGCATGAAGCAGATGAAGCAAGTGAAAAGGCGGCTCGTGACGAGGAGGAGAGAAAGAAGAAGGAAAAGGAGGAAGAGGAGAGACGGGCAAAAGATAAACGTGAACGGGAGGAGATGCACTCGTTGTTTGCCAAAGAAATGAACGCAAGGCTGGATGGGATTAGTAATGCTATCGGTGGGAAGAAGGAAAAAGAAGACAATGAAGTGAGCAAATTGAAAGAAGAAATCGAGAGGCTCAAAAAGAGTCAGCGAGGTAGTGAAGCATCAACATCAACAAGTGACAAGGAGGCGGTTAAGGCGCTGCAAAAGGAAATTTCCGATATGCGTATGGCATCGGAAGCGCGGTTTGGTTCGCTGGAAGATGAGATTGAGAAAGAAAGAAGATTAAGATTGGAGGCTATGGCGGACGCAGAAGCATGGAAAAGCGAGGCTTTAAGACCGGGTAACAAGAGAGGGAGTTTGGCGATTGGGGCGTCTCCGACCACCCAAGCAAGGGTGCGACCACGTGTCGTACCGACTTCGACTCCGGAAGGGACGAGGAAAGTGGTTGACGAGCACTATCGTAGTGTCGTTAAACGACATGGGATGGAAGTTGATTTGTTGAAGGAAATGAGATTGAAGCAAATTAAAGCAAGGCGGGAAGCTCAAGAGGAACTAGCGAAGGTAAGGGAGAAGCAGCTAGAAGACGAGCGCAAGATGAATAAATTGCACGAACGCATGAGGGAGTTGAAATTCGAGAAAAGGAAACGACGGCCGATGACGAATCTGAAGCCGCAGTTGGATGAGGCGGCAGGGGTCTCCGTGCGAAAGACCGATACTAGGGCTAACAAGTTGGTTAGTCCGACTATGGAAGGTGGGGAGAGGGAGAAGTTCTTGAAGAAAGCCAGGAAGGGCCTGAAGAATCTTCGGAAAGAAGAAGTGCGGGGTATCTGCGAAAAGGAGGGGATCACGTACGACAAGTTGGACGTTACGAAGGAAGAGATTGCTCAGTTACGTACAGCGCGGGAATTCAAGGATGGCGAAGGTAAAGGTAAGCAGGTGGTAGTACATGAAGTATCGAAAAACGGGGTAAGCGAAGCAGGTGCCGATGGTGACTCGGCAACTTCGTAAGATTGATCCCGAGCATGAGCGATCTTTGGAGGTTAATCAATTGTTGTTGTAAGCTACGTTCCACGTCTAATGCTCGACTGAGGTGCAAGGTGCTAAATGCCTTTGCTAGTATTTTATGATGCATGCTAATTGTTGAAGGATAGATTGAATGGGGGAAGAAACTGTCAAGTTATGTTATACAGACGCAGAACTGTGGTTTTGATTTTGACAAGGGTAGTGGACCTGTCGTTTATGCGCTATTTTCACCTTGGTGCAGGCATCTGTATATTGGTAGTACTGGTCGTGATATCTTTACTCCATGGTGTGAACATGCTTACAGAAGTACGGTGATAACGGTGAGCCACGAAAGAAAAAGAAATGAGAGATTGTACAGACGGTTGAGGCGATGGGGGATTCAGAGATATTTTATTATTCCCTTGGCTTTGTGCTCTGGGGATGATCTTTTGAAGACTGAAAGTTTTTTCATTCGGGAGTTATGCCCTTCGCTGAATACACGGGGTAGAGGTCGACGACGGAAGCGAAGTCACCCTGGACGAAGGGAAAGGAGGAAGTCGAGGCGTAGAGAGGGTCAGCTAGGGCAAGTAACCAATGACGTTGGCGGGCTGTTATCTTTTTGTACCACATTTGATTTGAGAACGGGTAGTTTGTTGCGTATTTTGGAATACTGCAGGTTGCATTCATTACACAGTTGTACGATCTCATGTAAGGGTGGGTCACACTTGCTTGACCGATGGAAGGTCCTCAAGTGCCTGTTTGGGGGAAGTATTGTCCGATGTAAGTACAGTACTGGTGAGTTACGACATGTCAGGGAATGGTTGAAGGACGATGTTGTTCTAACCTTTTTGACTGTGATCCCGTTTTTAAGTAAGTTGTTAGCATTTAAGGCACCTTTGATTGACTTGTTGAGACGCCCAAATAAACAGAAGGAATTGACTGCATGGAGGTTAGATAATTTGATCTATGCGTATACAGTTGTTAGGACTTTCGGCGAGAAACGGACTAGATGCAGATTACGGTATGTTTTGTCAAATGTTATACTTCGTCAATTCGGTTTACGAGTGAGGCAGCGTCTTATTGTGAAGTTGCAGTATGATGAGACACTGAGGAAAAGCCAAGTCCGTGTGCTATGCGCTAAGTTAGTATTGAGGTTGGATATTTCGCAGGCTTGGAAAGAAATGCTAATACGAAGAATGAGTATAGTATGGTGTAGAAATAAAACTGTCGGGGATAAGTTACATAACTATCGGCAAGTTTCCAGGAGGGACACCTTTGACTGTGTGTGTGATGGGACTGACCCCGGTTTTAAACGTACTGACGGGCATGTGGCGTTTAGACTGAATTATGTGAAGGAGTTTCCCGCTTGGATCAAAATGTCTAAAAATGTCTTGCGACCAGATCGGGGCAATAGACTGAAGGTGTTGGACAACTGTATTCAGGGAGCTATGACTGGTTGTTTTTCACAATCTGTTCTTGCGCCTGCATCGTTGGGTGAAAGAGAAATGAGTACTGAACTAAGGGCGTGTTTTTCTGCCGATATCAATATTGTGGGTAAGGGCGTTAATTCATCCGATTTGTTTCCGTATCAGCAGTTACTGGGGAATTTGGTTTGTTGCCCTCTAGATCACAACATGGGCGATACCTTCGTGTGTTGTCCGGTGGTTTATGGGGAAGGAATGAAAAAATTGTTCTTTGGTAATTCGGCGTTTACCCAGAGTAAGGCTGATGAAGACGATGTTGTTGAGAGTTACAGTGTGGCGTACAAGGAAGCAGGACTTGAGAAGGTCAACGCATGGAATATAAGGGGCACACTGGGGAAAGCATACTGTTTACCGAAGCATAAGGATATTGCGCGATGGCGGCCGATTTGTTCGTCCTATCCGGAAGGGTCTATGCGGGGTGGAAAGATGGTTGCACGAGCCATTAACACTTTGTTATGGTGCTTGCCGAAGGGGTCAAATCTGAATCTGAGGAGTGCCGATGGTTTATTAAAACAGATTACTGAGATCAATAGGAGGAAGGTGAAAGGGATGATGTTGCTAGGTGCGTCATTCGATATTAAAGAGATGTTTTCTAGTTTGCCTCACCAGTCCATCTTGCAGGCGGCTGAATGGGTTGTTGGTTATTGGGAAGAGGAGGGCGTGACTGGTGTGTTGATAAGGAAGCAGGGTAAAGGGGCCAAACTATGGAGGGGCAAAACTGAGGAAGGTCGGTATGAGTTGTCATTTGACGTTATTCAATCCTTTGTCCGTTTCGAACTGATGAACACTTTCATTGTCGCAGCGGGTCGGCATTTACTTCAGGTGGTTTGTATTCCCATGGGCAAGTCGTCTAGCCCAACCCTAGCCTGCTTATTGTGTGCGTACAATGAGGTTACCTTTCTGAATGGTCTGGGCAGTGATAAGTTGTTTCAAGGTTTCCGGTTGATGGACGACGTTTCCGTCTTCGTTTACTGTAGCAAAGGTGACCGGCAGTCGAGGAGGAACGGTGAAAGCATGTTGGAAAAATAAGTGTTATGACTCTGAACTAATATTGGAGCAGACGAACAGTGGACTGTCATGGGATTATTTAGGTTGCATTTTGAGCATTGAGGATGTTAACAAGAGGATCATGTGCATTCCACTTATGAAAAATCAGATGGAGGGGCTAAATGGCAGATTAATTTTTCAGAACATGCAGGATTATGTGTCCTACTCGAGCAAACAACAGAAAATGGATGTGGTGAGCTCATTTCTGCATCGAGCAAGAGCATATGCCTCAAAGAGTGGGACAGTACTGCCCTATCTGATCGCCTTAAAAAGCGAGTTGTGGAAAATAGGGTATCCGGATAAGATTTTTGACACTGCACTGGTGTCCTTCTCTAAGAAGTACGGTGGACTTTGGGATAACTGGCTACCTATTTTAACTGATTGGGGGAGATTTGGGAAGCGTCTCAGGATTGGAAACGCTTTCGGCAGGTAGTATTCTACGGTTTTAGGCTTTATCGAATTGTCGATTCAAGTCGAATAGGTTCGGTAGGCTTTGATGAATTGTTGTGGGGGGGGGTTCGAGGTTTGGGGTAGTTATTGCTATGTTTTTTTTTCGATGTTGGGGTAGTTATCGGCAGAAGCTGCAGTAAGGGTTACCGCTGGAGGAAGTTTAGGCTATGTCGATAGGTGGTTTGGACAGTGGATTCGGCACTTTCGTGGAGATGTTGTTTTTACGTGACGTGTGCTTGACTGTTCTCTATGACAAGTGTCTGGATATTGGGACTCGGCGACTTCGTGGGTAAATAGAGTTGTATTACTGGCTAAGTAGTACCGGTAGTTTCTGCTTTGAACTGGACCCTTGAATGTTTTCAAAAGGGATGTTGGTAACTATTAGGACTGTTAGCAATGAACGTGGTCGACTACGAAAACGGAAGTTGGGCGACTGTGGTGATAGCTTCTTCGACGGTGCTCTTAGCTGTAGGAATGGTACTTAAGCTTTGCGCATCTCGAGTGTTTCGAAAAGACCCCTGATGAGTCTGACGTGGCGGTCAGACGAAACCGGTCGGGTCGTCTCCGAGGTGGATTTTGTTCTACCATAGCTGTTGTGTTTCATTATCATTTTTAATGCAGCCGATCATGTTCGGGTTCGTTGCAAAGCTGGTCTATTCTTGTCCTGTCGTCTCTTGGTCGTCATGTCTCTTGGTCGTCTGGTCATGTTGTGTCTCTTGGTCGTCTGGTCATGTCCAATGTGATAATAGTCATGGTATTGTGTGTTTCGAGCGAGTGAACTTCCTGCTTTGACCATCGCGTCAACTGAGTATATGATACCATACTCACAATGGGACTTTTTAAACTGTTTCTTGTGGTATCTGCGGTCAGATTCATCCAGATCCAGCCGTAAAAGCGGTTAGATACAACATATAAGATAACGCTCGGGTGAGTGCATCCTGACCGTAGATAATAAAGATTGAAAAAAAAAAGATAACAAAGATCGATGGACAGAATCTCTACATCTCTTTTACCGTACTTCACCCGAATATAACGCACGGTTCATTATAGCTGTATTTGGGGAAATTTTCGAGCTAGATACAACGATAATTACCGTGCGCTCTATTCGGATGAAGATGATAGTTCGCACTACGAAAGGCCAACATCGATCCATCCATCTGTTGCCAGTGTCCAGCGTACTGAAAATTGAAAAAAAAAAAAAAAAAAAAAAAAAAAGAGGAGGAGAAGGGGGGTTATGCATCCCCTCTGATGGCTGGAGGGAGACAACAAAGCTATGTCCACAGAGGCAAGGTCCCACTAGCAAAGAGGATAGGATTGAAGACCTGAATCTGGATGTGTTGGTGAAACGGTGCAGAATGTCCAGATTGAACTGCTTTTCTGCATGTTTGTTTAAAACACGTCCAGATTCCGCATATTTATCCAATCCCCTTTGCTAGTGGGACCTCGCTCCAGGGGTGAGGTCCCATTAGCAGTCGGATAGGAGTGTGTGGCCGATCCAGTGTGACACTGAGTGGCAGCGAGCTGACAGGTTCGTTACGAATTTCTGGCCTGAAAAAGAAGGAGAAAGTCAAAAGGAAAAAAAAAAGAAACAAAGACCTCCCACCGGAAATCACGGCAGAGTGTTTCCCAGCCATCAGATCACAAATGATCTGATGGTGGTGGTTGCAACAACAGTGAACAAAGTAACGGCCACATTTTCTGGAATAAACTCGACTTCTGACAGCAGTGATCCTGACACCCTTCATATACTCCGTGATTGAAGGAGGGCTCCACCCAATGAGATAATTGCACAACAACAAGTAAAATGTTGAAAATCTTTTATCTAGTGGGCTAAGGCCGACCACAACCTCGTTTGGGGTTGGCCACACCCCCAACCCATTGAAAAGCTTCTGGCGGGAAACTGTCTTTGCACGGGCATGCTTAGTGTTAAGGAGAGGAGGAGGGGAACGAAGATCTTCTAACTTTTTGGGGTAATACATATAAAATACTGACCACCAGTACCTCGCTAAGCTATCGGCCGCGGGCCTTCCCGTATATGCGCCGCAGCCTTAGGGGGGGCGGCCAAGGGAAGGCCCGGTC